TTGTTAGTCATTCAGACATAATTTGTGCAAAATTTCATCCCGATATCAATCTTAGTTCTTAATATAATAATTAAATTACCCTAATAGAGCAGATTGGACCACTGTGCGCTGTTCGGATATGGGTGAAACACGCATGTGGTCACAGAGCGCTCAGTAAGCTATGGCATGTCGATCGCTGCGCTAGGTAGAGAAAGAAAAGTGTGTGCTATGACATGCCCAGACTTGTTTGTCTTAGTTTCAGTATTGCCATCGCCGCGAGTTGTTTCGGCGTGCGCATAGTTATTTAAAAATATAAAGTTTGATGCCAGCCGGAGTTTCTCAGTGGATATATAATTCATGTGAATTATAATTTGAAAGTAACTATCTAGCCCAGGAAAAAGCAAAGCAGTATACTTAAACCAGCACTTCCAGCAGATATTGGCCTGGGTTTTCGGACGACTGTTCCTGTTTCATTGTTTCTTTTTAGGAAATTCTTACCACCATATACATATGTATTATTTACACTAGTAACTATATATGTAAATATGTATGTATTTTGTATGCTTAATATATGCAAATAAAAGAAGAAAGTAAACACAACAACCATCGAGTAAATTTTTATTTGTGTCAAACTGAAACTTTTTTTCCAATAATAAACGGTTAGCTGATTCAAGTCTACAGCAAGTTCACAAAATTAATTGAAAACTTGTATCAACCAAAGCATTGTTTTTTGTTGTATTTGCTCAACAATGATTTTATTCAACTAACAATATTGTCCACTCAAGGTAGTCATTTTGTAATTATTAACAAATATACATTTGTCCCAACTAGAAGTCTCAAGTAAATTGCAGATTTTCGTGAACTAGATATTTATTTCGCCATATCCAACTATGCCACTTGGTCACTATAACCAAATCTTGGTAATTATAACTAAACCTTTTTCTGAGTGTATCATATTAGCACAATGCCACTAATATTTGACTTACAAACAAAATACGGGCAGGAATTTCAAAATTTGCAACCTGTTTGTGTAAAATATTTTATTTTTATCTTTATTATCTTATTTTTTTCTTTTAACCAATATATTACCTTGTTTATACCGACACATAAGGCGCTTTAACTCAGTTCGGTGTGATTCAAAACAGATGTATAAACAATATTTCAACACGGGTTGATATTGCGAAGTGTATTGACTCGAATTTGTTCTCAAATCGGGTTTTTATTTCTCACATCGGTTAGAAAACCCGTATAAATGAATAATTCATTTAACGCGAAATCAAAATTTGCTGTTTTTTTCTTTATACAGCCCGTTTTTAATTGTATTTGTTATTATAATAAATTTGTATTGCTGTTCCTTTTCGGTCCACCGCGGAAATTTATTATTAACTACATGTCGAATAAAATTAACGGAGTTTGTTTACTTTTCAATACGGGTTTATCGAGTGGGGTATAAAGACTGAGGAATAAACGTTAGAAAGAAATACATATGTATGTGTTGAATCAAATCCCCAATAGAACCTGAAGGGAGATCTCCCTATGTGAGGAATAAAAGAGTGCTCCCCTTAACCTGATTTCTGAGCAATAAGGGAGATTTGTCGGTTTTGTACTCCTTTATTACTCGTTTAGGAATCAAATAGGAGATCTCCTAAGCGAGCGACGAAATAATACTCCCCGAGGCATGATTTGGGAGCAATAAACGAGATTTGTCGGTTTTGTCCTCCAGTTTTGCTCGCTTAGGAGCGTAATGAGAGATATCCTAAGCGAGCAATTAAAGAATGCTCCCTGATGCATGATTTGGGAGCAATAAGCGAGATTTGTCGGTTTTGTACTCCGTTATTACTCGTTTAGGATTAAAAAGTGATGTCTCCTAAGCGAGGAATCCAAGAGTCTTCTTTTTGATTGATAGGAGAGCAATACGCACCTCGTTCAAAAGAAATTTTGTATTTTCGAAAAAATTTATCATAGAAAAAAAAACCACAGAAAATATTTCTTATAGGCGCATAAGGAGGACACAATAATCTAATTTGGATAGCACACAGATTTTAATAAAAGTCCGTTGGTATGTACCTCAACTTTTGTTTAAATATTTTAAGTTCGGTGTGTATTACTTACAAATATACCGTTAAATACCTTTCAGATTGCGCAAATTAGTGTTTGCATTTAAGTGTGACCCCCGGGTTTAAACATCGCATGGGTGACAAAGATGCCAGATAAGAAAAGTCACTTTCACAATTTCCCCGCTTGGTGGATTCCT